TCGATTGGAGCAGCCGTTTCCGAGAAAACATCATCCAAAGATATTCGTCCACTTTAGCTTAATTTTCAATTTTCCTAAATTACCTCGGTGAATCTCGTAAATAAAAATAACTTTTTTAGCTCTCTCTAAATAATTGTAGTTCAAATGTCGTGGTGGGACTATTTTTATTTAATAATAAGAAACGGTTTAAAAAAATATTTATTCTAAAAAAACAAATCAAAAAAAATTAAAGCAGATGCTCAATGTGGCGACCATTGGTTTCCACACACAAGCGCAACCGTCGCATCATAGACTGTCTTACACGAAAAAATACTTCAGGATTATTCCTAAGAACTTCGCAATGATGAAAAACTCGTTCTTCCAATTCTTCAACTGTTTCAACAGGACTGGAATAAACCAATGATTTTAAATAACCCCAAACAAAAAAATCCATTGGATTTAGATCTGGTGAACGAGGTGGCCAGTTAACAGGACAACCTCTGCCAATTACTCTACCCTCAAATCTTTCGTTAAGGTGCTGTCTAGCTTCAAGGCTGTAATGTGGTGGAGCTCCATCATGCATAAACCACATGTTATGTCTGATTTGAATCGGAATATTATCAAGAAGCTCATGTAAGTTATTTTCCAAAAAAAGCCTGTATGCTGCTCCATTTAACCTATTCGGCAAAACAAATGGTCCAATAAGGTAATTATCAATAACTCCAGCCCAGACGTTTATTGAAAATTTATCCTGGTGGTGACGTTCAACAACCGCGTGAGGGTTATCTTCAGCCCATTCATGCATATTTCGAAAATTTATTATACCATCTCTAGTGAAACCAGCTTCATCGGTAAATAGCACTTTATTAAGAAACATTGCATCTTGATTACATCTTCCAAGAAACCATTCAGAAAAGATAACTCGCGGCTCATAATCAGTAGCTTTAAGTGCCTGAACTTTTTGAATGTGGTAAGGGTACAATTGTTGTTCACGCAAAACTTTCCATACCGTGTTACGTCCGACTCCCACTTCTGAAATTAAATGAGAGAATCTGTGTAGTGAATAGTTAAGAAAGAGAATCCATTGATTTGGGAAATCAGATTTTTTCTGCATAACGCAACTCTTTTCGATACGAAAAGTCGTGAAATGTAAGAGAAGCAATAACAAGTAAAAAAACTAGTTTTATACGATAAGGTACGGGGTAGCTAAAATAATAAATAAGTAATTACTTACCATTTGCTATTTTTCTGGTACTTGTCGATGGGGTTTCAGCTACCCTATCCAAAATTGCTTCTTCCAAAGCAGGAGTTCTCACATAATTTTGTCTTCCACTGTTACTAGAGTTTTTCTTAAATGTACCAGTTTCCCGAAGTCTATCGTCAATTCTAGAAAACGTCTTAGCGCATGGAAGATGCCTATTTGGAAAGCGCTCCTGATAAAGTCTGCGAGCTTCATTGGCATTTCCAGAAGCGAGTCCAAAACATAAGTGCATGTCCGTCATTTCGCCGAATGTGTAATCATTATTGTAGTTATTGTGAGCCATTTTAAACAAAATAATAACAATACAACGAATCGCACCAGAACACTTTTAGAAATAATGTTTAACTGAAGAAACATTTTTATCAGTGAGCGAAAAAAATTATCCATGAAACACAAAAACGCCAAAAAAATACATATTTTTACTTTTTTATTCTAAACAGCTAAATACAAACCTTATGGTCTTCATAATAAATAAATGGGAACTAAATTTTTAAATTTTATTTAGAGAGCTAAAAATAGTATACAGGGTGATTGATTAGTGTGAGGAAGCTCTGTAGATCTGTTATAATAAAAGTAGGCAGCTTTAAGCTTCACATTTTAAAATTAGTTACGATGTGACAGGGTGTTTCATAAGGCCGTGTCAAATCAAAGTTATGTTTTTTAAATGGAACACCCTGTATATTTTTATATTTTTAGAATCTGCTCGATAATCTGATTTCAATAATATATCACACTTGTTATCTAATATGAATAGTAAAGGATCTACAGCTACTCAAAAATCACATTTTTTCAAATTCAGGTGGCTGTTGTAGCCAAACAGTTGGAAATCGAGGAAAACGGCTTACAGTCCCTATCCTAACTTTTTAAGGTCTATTCAGTGACATAAAATACATATTATTTGATACAGGGTGATCAAAAATCCAAAATCACATCCGATTTTTGATCACCCTGTATCAACTAATATTTTTTGCCACTGAATAGACCTCCAAAAGTAAGGATAGGGACATGTAAGCCGTGTTCCTCGATTTCCAACTTTTTGGCTACAACAGCCAAAATTGAAAATTAACCTAAACTGCACGAATATCTTTGGATGATGTTTTCTCGGAAACGGCTGCTCCAATCGAGATCAAACAAGTATTCCGTTTTGACGTAGTTTTCAATGTAGAATGTAAAAAAAAATATGGATAAGTCATTACCAAAAACACAAAAAAGTTATGAATAATCAAAATTTTCAAAAAATTCCCAAGTACACCCCTGACGAAATAATTTCTTTTTGAAGGTGTCAAAAGGTCACTATTATTGATCATATTTAACAGCCAAAATTTGGTTCTTCTATTTGTTTCCATTTTTAAGAAAATTCAAAAAATTAAAATAAAAAAAATGATTTCGAGAGGCTGTTGCTCGCTTAGGGGGCACTTTAGGACATAGGTCTATAGGAACTTTTTTTCCATTTTTTGGTTAAGGTATCTGCCTGAGAATTTTGGGACACATTTTAAAGGACACCCTGTATATTCAGAGTTGCGCGAAAGTCCGGAATAAAATAATTAACTGTCTAACCAGTAACTTAAAAAAAAAAACGCTGAAACAGGTGAAATGAAATTTTTTTCTTCAACCCCTTAGATGTAACCCTACCCAAGTTTTTTTTTTCAAATGCAAAAGTATGTGGGGTATAGGTCATTGAAAAGCTCGTGAAAAATGGAATCTTACCATACTTTATTTTTTTTTTGTTTACTTATGTGGTTATTGGGAAATGAGAAAAAATTCCTTTAAAAATAAAAAAGTTACGAATAGGTTATAGTGAAATTCCACTTTTCCCTGCAAACGACTTTTCTTTGCATTTGAATGTACTTAATGTAGAAATTTGTGTGATTCTTATTGTCAATATAGATTTAATAATTGCGGTCCTGGAAAAAATGTTGCTTATCTCAATCATTTCGCCTTATTTGCTTTCCAACTTTTGGCATTTCTAACACACTTTCTTGCATGTTTTTTATCTACAGGAGGACAAGAGACCTCCATTTTATGAATTTTCATTAAACAATTCTTATTATTTTCTTATTATATACTAAAAAACAGTAATTAACTATGCACGTGTTGTTACAAACCAACTATTCGCTCCGTGCGCGACAGCAGCGCCAATTTGTTTTGGTATTAAAGGAGTATTTCTGCCTATACTGACAAATACAATTTTTAATAGAATTCGTAAATAAAAAGTATATATATTAGTTTTAATAAAAGTATATGGATTTATAAAACAATTAAAACATTAATTTATTATTATATATTTTTCACGCTTAAATTGAAGAAAATTATGGATAATCATTAAAAATCAATAATAAAATATAGGCAGGCAACAGTATTTACTGGAAAATGTATGAGAAGTTGCCTAAGTCTAATAAGTTGTAATTGAAGAAACCATTTATAATAGCGTGAAGTTAAAATGTATAAAAAGGATCGCTACTTATATTTTCATTTTTGTTCTAAAGAAAACATAGAATGAATGATTAAAACTGGTTTCCGATCAGTAAGTCACAAAATTGCATACCATCCAAATATTATAATCAACGGCAGAAATCTTGAAATCTAGTCCTTGCTGAAAGAACATTTAAGAATAAAGGGATATTAAAGAACATCGTAAAATGATAATTTATTGTTTATTTAAAAACTTTCTAGTTTCTGATGTCTACTATTTCCAGCATTACTGTTATTATCACAAAAATAAAGGTAATTTTTCTTCTTATTGTACACCTATCCATTTATTTCTTTGATTTAATTTCCACTTTGTTAGTGAAATTTGTTATATAAGTTTCACTGTTTTTTTTTGCTAGTATTTGTACAATTTTCAACACAGCAACTCCGGTTGCTTATTGTGTTGTTTTTACCTACTTTTTTGAAAAAAAGTAAAATGTATACGTGTATTTGATATGCCAAAATTACAAAATATCCCCCTAAAATGCACGAATTATCCGCAGCTAGCGCTAGTATCGCTTTTGCTTCCCTTTCCATGACTTCGCACGGAGCGAATAGCTACCATACTGGTTTAACTACTTGTTATTGGCTGAAAGTGACTTTGCTACTTTTGTTATGTTAAATTTGGAGATTGCTGTTTTTGATACAAACTTACAACTTTGCTGAATGGTTTTAACGACTTATTTCTGCTTTTGTTACAAAATAAGATCTGATATTTTAATAAACAAACATTCCAAACTGGTACGACACAAAAAACTTTAATCGGAAAATTTGGAGTTTGCTGCTTTTGATATTAGACCCCTGATGTAGAATGTAGTCTGTGCGTAGATAATCTAATATCCATGTGAGCGTAGAAAAAATAATTTTTGGACGTGTCCGAAATACCCATTGGAAATACCTACGGGAACCCATGAATAATGAATATATTTAAAAATATATTTCGAAAATAAAAAATTTAGTAAAAAAAAGTTTTATTATTAAAAGATTATATATTTTTATTTTCAATAAAAAAATTTTTAATGTACCGATATTATTTTGATGATCAATTTGGTATAACAAAGAGTACCTGGTTCTTTCTTACAACTAACAATTTGTAACGCAATCACTTCACACCCTTCCTTTTTAGATAATACATTGTTCAGTTGTTTTAAACTTCTTGAGAACACTCGTTTCTTCCAACAAGAGCACACAAAACCCATAAAAAATAAATAAACAAACATGAAAAATACTTTTTTCAATTGTCTTCATTTCAAAAGGTGTGATTTTATAAAAAATGAATGTGTTAACTCACCACATTTAATCCTGGATTATTAATCGGCTGACAATAGTTGACAGAAGGCCCCGACATTAAAATGACGTGTCCCATTGCCATAGTGTGAGGATTTGCCGCCGTTTGAGACATCAAACAAGATCCACCAGACGATGTTGTCGGAAGCAATCCCATAGACGACGACGATGACGTAACCACTCCGAAAGATGGCTGAGCTAAAGACGTAGACGCTTGAGGGGCTTCGCTGACTGGCGTCGAACTGCCCGAAGGCGACACAGTCGTAACGGTCGAAGAACCAACAGCTTTCGCATAAGTATTACTAGCACTGGATACGACCTGTCTAACTGTCCCAGAAGTATTTAACACTTTTTGCGGCGGTTGATCTTTTCTCAGAACAGAAATGTCCCTTCTGGGCATAATGGGCGTTTTAACAGTTTGTTTGATATAATAAGGAATGGGAAAAGTTTTTCGTGCTCTCTGTTTACCGCACGGAGGAGCGGGGATTTTAGCGAAAGATTTGACGTAAATTTCGCCTTCGTGGGTCAACGCGCCGCCGGTGCTCTTCCTTCTTTCCACTTTTCTTTGTGGGATTATTTCGCCTTCGTGTTGGGCGCTGTAGTTCATTGCTACGTCATCTATTATGCGAGTAAGATTGTCCACTACTTTGAACCTGAAATATGAATAGAGCTAGTATACTTCATACAATATAAAAACCAATACAAGTAATCGATGACGTATTTCCTATACTGCAGTAATACCAACAAATGAAATATTACGATTTGAAGATCTGATTGGACACTAGTTGAATTGGCGTGCGCATTTTTTAAACCATCCTTAATCATAATTGGACAATGCTTCATATCACAGTACATTGTTACATAAAACACCAAACGCTAGATGGACAAAGATTAAAATACAAGAGTGGCTGACAAATCAGAATATTAGATTTTCATTTGCTATGTTTAAACCGGAACCTCTGAATATTGTTGCACAGTCAGTAAAAGAAATCTGTTTTGTTTGTAATTTCTCAATTACTTTTTTTTTTTAGAAATAAACCACCAAAAATTGACATGGCTGACCTTCTAGCAGAACAATACGGACATAAAGTATTGTATTATGTCTTCCTCCTTATTATTGCATAGTGAATCCAATTAAACTTATTTGGGGCATTACAAAGCAATATTACAATAGACATATTGGTCGAGATGGTAAAAAAAAGGATTGTTTAAATATGTGGTCAGAAGTACTCCGGACCATAACACCACAAATTTGGAAAAAAAGTATCAGTCATACAGAAATCTCAAAATGGTAATGGTAACTGATAGAATTGAAATTGCTCCAATTATGATTACACCAAACAGCGATGATAGTGATTTCAGTAGCGATGAATCTAAATAACGTCGAAAGAGACATTGTTACAATTATGGTGATGATTTGGAGTTATTGAGTGAAATACATACTAATAATATAATTTATTGCAGCATTGTACTGTGATAACAATTGTATTCTTTAGTTTACCTTTTATTATTTGTTTAATATTTAATTTGTTATTTGTATAGGAATTTTATATAACTAACAAACTGTAAAATAAAAGTCATTATGTTTTGAAAAATATTTGTTTTTATTTTTTGATACCCAAATATTGTTCAGGTAGTTAAAATAACTGTAACATTATAATAATGCTTCTACATGCTATATTAATATAATCCCATAAATCACATTTTGATATTATTTTTTGAAAACCTTACTCAACTGATGTTCTTAATGGATTCATGCTTATACGTAGAACATACTACTGGCTGATATTTCTTATTGGTTAACATCACAACGATTTACAACGGCTTTTCTTTAGCTACAATTGTCGGAACTTTCAAAGATTCTCCAATTATTTTCAAAATTTGGCAAAATCAAATTTTAGATTGTTTAGATCAGTGGTTCTTAAACTTTTTTGGTGACGAAACCTTTTTGAAAAGTGAAATATTTGATGGAGCCCTAACCACATTTCGGGAAAATAAGACCTATACTGCTTCCTCTTCCTAACATCTAAAAAAAAGTCCTCTAAGCGAATACCAAACATCATATACTCCTTAAAAAAAAACAGTAGATCCTCAAGCCAAGTCCCGTTCTGTTGTAGCGATAGGTAGAGTAAAACAAACTTAAGTTTGGTACACCCACGTGTCGTTCCGATGGTTACGCCATAGATTTGTTGACTATCGTTAACATGCCAACCTCTAACACGGCGATGCCCAGTAGCGTAGCGTAAAGAGGCGAATAGGTGAAACAATTTGCATCTAACAGCGCTAAGTGGTATATCTAGTGCTCTTTTTTATTCAAGTGGTGTATTTCCTTATTCTTATTTTTTTAATTTAGTGCCGTAGTAGTTATAGTAGAGTAGCAATAATAGTTAGTGTATAAGTTGTAGTTATAGTATCTACATAGTTAATTTAGAAATAAAAGTGATTTGGACGATATGGCTCCGAAAAAAATTGGCAGAAGGGGACAGGGATTGCGCAGTCAAACAAAAGAAATCATTAATAATATTTCGAAATTTATGGAAGAAGAAGCGGCCCACTTCAATGCTACCAAGGACGTATTGATACCTTTAAAGAATTTTATGTGAGTATTTTTAATTACATAATAATATTTTAATTATGTGGAACTATACAGATACGATACCATTGTGAAATTAAAAAAATGTTTATGCTCCTGCTGTATTGACATAATTTCACAGAGTACCTATAGGCTGAAACAATCAAGTCTAACAATAATCATTCATTTAAAATGAGTTTCTTTAAAATACTCTATACCTGCAGGCAGTGAGATATTGTATTTTATATTGTAACATTTCGTGTTTGGTTGTGCTATTTACTTGTTGGACAATAAAAAGAAGTAAACAAATATTAAAATAGTAAAAATAAAATAAGATTTTCAATATATTTTCAGAGAACGGATTTTAAATCAAAATTTATGTTCATCTACTTTCTATACAATAGATTTTTGAATTTAAATTTAGGCATTAAAATAAATAACGAAACAGTAGAAATGGTCCAAGAAATAAAGAATGTAGGAATTATGTTGAATAGAGAACTAAAATTTAAAAAACACATCGAGTATATATCTGTAAAAAAGTAGGAAAAAAAAAATAGGATTTCTACGAAGAGTGTCATCGTATCTATTAATTTCAACTAAATTGACTGTATATAATACAGTTATTCTACCCCACTTATACTATTGCTGTTCTTTAATATACAGGATGTTCCAATTTTGATAGACTGCAGGTCCTACAAAACAAAGCGATGCGAGTGATACTATAACAAATATACCAGAATTCAGTTTATGTTAGACACCGTAAATTGGCTAAATGTCAAAAAACCGCTATATGTACAAACAATGGTTTTTATATTTAAAATAATAAACAATTTAAGAAATGAATCGAAAGTATTTAAAGTGTGTAGGTAGAGTTTTATTAATAATAAAACTCAGTAATATTAGTCTGAGCGCTTTCAGTCTGTTAGGCCATCATCAGAGACATTGTCAATAAATGTAGAAGAAGCATGAAAATTAATATATAACTAGATTAAAAAAGGGTTGCCATAATACGGACTTTTTCCGTTTTTTTCGAATTGCGCGGCAGCGACTTGGAAGGGTCAGCTGGCTTCATGCCGAAGTAAAGTTTTTTATCTTTCTCTACCTTTGAACGGGCGAGATTGTTTATTTCTACGTGTTGGGATGAGCCCCCACGTTTTTTCTTAAATTGCAACCACCTTTTAGGAGTGGTTCTGTTATTTCTTACGAACCAAGCCTCAAGTTATGGTGGAGAACAGGGACCGTATTGTGGCAACCCTTTTTTAATCTAGTTATATATTAATTTTCATGCTTCTTCTACATTTATTGACAATGTCTCTGATGATGGCCTAACAGGCTGAAAGCGCTCAGACTAATATTATTGAGTTTTATTATTAATAAAACTCTACCTACACACTTTAAATACTTTCGATTCATTTCTTATTACCCAGTGTGTACACACCACTCAACCTCTTCAATAAACAATTTGTTGCCTGGATATTTTAACTGCCAACTAAACCCGGTCACAGAAATACATCAAAGAAACACAAGAGCAGTAAACTATCAAATTTTATATACAAACAACTAATAAAAGTAGTTCGATGAAAAGCTTATTTCATAAAGGGATCGATTAATTCAATCATCTGCCTCAAAATTTTAAAAATGCTCAGAATCCTAGTAAATTTAAGAAAAATCTTATGTTAAAAATAATTTGTGAATTATATAGTTGAAAATTGTTTTTTATCTTTCCTTTTTTTTACTTCTTTTACTTGTTATACTTTTAACCAGTCTGTTATATTAAATACTTACATCACTGTTTCTTTTATTCTTTTCTTTTTCTCTTTTTTTATTATATGTATAAGGGACAATTATGTTAAGTTTTATGTTTATTTTGATTTTGAATTAATTATGAAGTTCATGTTTATATTAAATTATTTTGAATTATTGTATGATATTATCTTTGATAAATAAAGTTACTTATTATTTCCAGTAAACGGACGAGTCAATTTTGTTTAATACTTATATCTCAAAAACAGAAGCTGTTACAGATGTGAAATTTAAAAAAAATTAAAATAAATAATTACCTTTCTCGTTTTTCTTCGGCTTTTGACCTCGTCCTAATCTCGTTCTTTTCTTTTCTCTCATTTTCCGCAGATCTTTCGTAGATGTTCAAAGCGTTTAAGTATTTTCTCTTTTCCTCCATTTTAGAAGAATGCAACATGGGTTCGTCCTCGCTTTCCGGTTCGCTTTTTATATCTTCGGGCGTCAATAAATGTTCAGCAGCCGCGTCGGATTTCTCCATTATTCTCTTTTCCTGATCGGCGCTTTCGACGTCGTCTTTATCTTTTTTCTTCAAAATACTCTCTATGGACACCAATTTTACGATTTTGGCGGGACTAGGAGTTTCATCGGCGTTTAATTTTCTCTTCTTCGACGAATCTGTGTCCGTTACAAATCTAAACGGGCGATTTGTTTCTTTCTTTTTGTTCAAGACGTTCGTACTTTTATCTACGTCTCCGGTTTTCAAGGAAGAATGTATCACATCGAATATGTTCTTTTTGTCGTATACTAAGTTAACCATGTTTTCAATTGTAGCCATGTCTTCTTCTTCTTCTTCTTCATTAAACTCATCTATAATATCTACAACTGAGTCTTTGTTTGCATTTTTACATGACGCATCTTTTGATGTACTAGGTCCTATTATCGAAGATTCTTTATTTTTAACTGCCTTCTCGGTCACTAACGAAGATTCTATATTTTCAACTATTTTCTCAGTACCTTGCATCGAAGAATCTTTATTTCCAACTTCCTTTTCGGCCCCTTGTATCGAAGATTCTTTATTTCCAACTTTCTTCTCTGTACTTTGTACCGAGACGGGTTTTATTTTAGAAAAAGTAATTTCCTGTTCTAGGCGTTTTAATTTGTGAGATATTGAATTGGAATCGGTTTTATTTTCTGATAACACTATTATATTTTTATTCTTACTAAGAGATTCAATTTTTTTGTCGATATTAGTATCGTCTATACTTTTCGAAGGCGATGTATCAGATTCTTGCGTCGCAATTTCCATGGGGACCACATTATCAATAACTTTATCTAAACCACTGCCTGAAATTTCGCCTGCTGGGGAAGCGACTTGTACAAGTTTTAATTGTTCATTATCTTTCTTCTTTTCTGAACCTAACATTTCTTGAACATTTTTAGGAATCGATGTTTCTACTAAAGTTACTTTTAATTGTTCAGTATCTTTCTTCTTTTCTGAACCTAATACTTCTTGAACATTTTTAGGAACCAATGTTTCTCCTAAATTTACTTTAAATTGTTCATTATCTTTCTTCTTTTCTGAACCTAAGATTTCTTGAACATTTTTAGACATCAATGTTTCTACTAAATTTACTTTTAATTGTTCAGTATCTTTCTTCTTTTCTGAACTCAACATTTTTTGAACATCTTTAGGAATTAATGTTTCTACCAAGTCTTTTTCTGTATCATTTGGTACAGAAACCTGCTTATTTGTTTCCAAAACACTGCACTGTTCAGTACTCTCTTTTGGTAAAACTTCACTTGTTTTTTTCAGTACATTTTCTGGTTTAACTGCTTCACTTGCAGTCAATTCTACATCCATGTTTTCAGTAATCAGTTCTGAACTGGAATTAGAATTTTTCTCTGAGACTTTTTCATTACTACTTGAGGGTTGAGATTCAGTTATAACATCGATAATTTTAGGTACAACTGTCATATATTCGGTTATAGACGGCTGAATTGTTTTTGCTTTGGTATCATAATCTAGTTTCTTATTTTGTATAAACGTATCCTCGTCCAATGAAGATTCAACTTCACCATTCACGTTGATTTTGGTTTGCTTTGTAGATAATGAACTGGGTTCGTTCTTTTTATCTCTACTGTCAACTTCTTTCAATGATTTTTTAACTCCTTCAGTCCTATGATCGTCGGATAGTTTTTTTATGAGTTTGTCAGAAATTTTGACTTTATTCGGTGAAATAGAAAATTCGGCATTCTCAATAACGACCTGTACAGGTTTTTTCTTTATGTCGTAGCTATTTTCGCTACCCGGTTGAGAATTTTCGCCGTTGAGAGAACTTATATTCTCAGAAATGCTGACATAACCGACGTCTTCGTTGCCGAGGGTTATTTCCATGTTTTCTGAGATTGATACGCGATTTATTTTATCGGATACGTTTGAAATGCGACTGGAGTCGCTTTTGACGCTTTGATCGCTATTTCTTCTCGATTTTTTCTGGGCCGGAGATGAAAGATCGTCGGACATACGGTTTTCCGATGACATTCGTGGCAGCACTTTTAGTTTACCTAATTAACAAATAAAAAAAATTATTGTTTAAAATATCAAATGAGTGATAGTATAGAATGGGCCACAAGTAACGTGTTTGTCTCTAGAAACTATATTCTTTTTAGGAAATATGAATATACAGGTTGTTTTAATTTTAAATAGTTATAATTTCTGTTCTAATATTGTAGAACTATATTATTTTTAATGTTCATAAAAACACTGCCTAATTTTTATCAAGGTTTTGTACACCATATGTTTTTGAAAAAATAATTTTTTCTTTTCGGAAATACAATTTTTTTTCTTGAGAGTATTTATGCGCATTATGCCTACAAGTTTACTTTACAATGGAATCTGTGCATAGCCCGTTTTACAATAACTGAATAATTCAAAAGTATTTTAATAAAAACATCAAAAGTATTATTCTTCAATAATTATTGATTTATTACAATTGAAAAAAAAAACATAAATGTGTTATTATTTTTATAATGTAAATCTGACTTTGGATATCAACTTCAAATGCGCTGGTTCAGTGATGATGTAATTATGGTTCCACTGACAATTAAAGTGACAGTAGATTTTTTGAGTGCGTTTTGTTCGTTGTGTTTACCTAAATTATATCGTTTTTTCACTTGTATAAATATATTCCTAAAGTAAGTAGATAACATGCATCAAATACACAATCGTTTAGTTACCAATTTACATACCTTTCAACTATTTTTATGATCTGTAAACAATATTTAGAAATAAACTAAAAATAGTAAGAACGTATATGTCAAATTTATTGATGTTTTTGTTAAAAGTTTGGTTAGAATTAAATGTCAGTGGAACCAAAATGACATCACACTGAACTAGCGCATAGTTGTCACCATGTTGCCTCTTTATGCTTGATACGTTGTATTAGTGATGACGTAATTTATGTTCCACTAGTAATGATTATAGACCAAATAAGTTATAAGTATTATTTTAGTTCCATTATTGAAGTGAAACTTCTTATGGCTCGACCTGGCGTGAAAAATATGAGTAGCGAATTAAAAAAAAATTACAGATTTTGATGTTCCGACACTTTGATGACATATGTTGATGTCCCATAGAAATAATATAGAAAGCCGATTCCATATATCAAAAATGAAACCATAAGGAGAAAATAGTGTGTCGGAGCTCATGCATATAACGGTGCTGGCGCGAACAGGACCGGTGCAAGTTTTTTATTGATCGAACAAATAGTTCGCACGATATTTCAATCATACATTTTTAGAGATGATTATATACAAAAAACGATTAAAAAAATTTCAAGTTAAGGTAAATATGGTTCTGACAGTCCTTATTAAGAAAGATATGGCATAAAATATGAATTAGTTAATTTTCGGCAATCATTAGTACAGTAGTCATGAGATTTTGCTTGTGATTTTAAAAATACTTACCAGAAAAACCACGTGCTCCGGTTTTGACTACGTTTATTATTAAACAGCGAAATTATATACAAAAACTTTAATCCACAATCTAAATTAGGTACTATCACAAGAAAATCACTGTTACAATAATTAATTACTTAACCAAAAACTAGAATACTTTTTAGGTACCTACGTAACCAGAAAGGAGCTGGACCATTTATCCTAATATTGATTTTCTCTCTCCCTATGGTAAAACTTAAAACAATAACAAATTGCCTATCTACTAGGGTCGGTAACTAAACGTATATACATAATGGGCGGATTTTGTTTATACTTAACATTACACTCGCGCATTTAAATGTAACTATGCATATAAATATTTACAAACAAAGATACTTTTCCAAACAGGCAATCATTAGTACTGTAGTCACGAGATTTTGCTTGTGATTTGACATCTTATTTGATAATATCATTTGCTACAACTAAATTTAATCTGGGGAGTGCAAAATAGGGCCCAGGAATATTATGTTCGATATTTTTTTACATTTTGTCAGCCGAGACTATGAGTCGTTAGACAGAAAACCTTTCATGTTACCATTTTCAATATAAATTAAAAAATACTACTACATTTACTTGCTACATATTTTATTTTAATTTTGAACCTTTTTAAAAGGGTCTTTCGGTTCCATAATAAAAATTAGTTGCTGCTTACTAGAAACATTCTATATAGCCTAAACCAATTTATAGTTTGTTTTCGATCAATTTAATACAAAGATTTAAAGTTTTTAGTCGATGATAACATTCCACACCAGCACATTGCAAACCTATTTTATAAATAATAGGAATAAACTTGTAAATCATTAATTTGGTAGTTATCTCACTCATATGATTTTTTTGTTTATATGACTATTTCGATTTCTAAATATATTTTGGCCTTACAATACGAAGCGTTTTGTATCTACCACTTTTTTAATGAACGATGAATGTTGGCAGGCGTGTACCTTTTTCGGAACAAGAGGCGTTTTAACGAAGGAAATGATTTTCGAACTATCTAGTTAGTTTTCGGAAAAATAGAAAACGTTTGAAGAAAGTTGTCAATAACAGTTTGTCGTTCATGTGTTTCATTTTGATCAGCTTTCATACTAAATTGCGTAGAATATTTTTCCGATTCAAAATCGAGATTCTCGATATTTCCACAGTTTATTTATAATACCTTCTAAACTGGATTTATCTATCATTTTATATACTTTATAATATATGTTCATGCTCTACTTTTCACTTTATTAACAATTTTTTTTAACATACTTCAAAATGGTAGGATATTCTCAATTCGTTGAAATATTTTTTTATGTATGTTGAGCGATAATTCTTTACCACGTTGCCCGATTTCTAGGATTATTTTTGTTAGAAAAGGAAACAGTTTTATATACATTAAGTCAAGATCTGAAGATAGGATCCATAAGAAAATCATTAACATCTTTATTTTTAAAGTTGGTTTTTTTTTAAATTTTAAAGGAATGAAGAAATGTAAATAATTGTTGTGCCAGCCAAAAAGCGAAGAGGAAGTACCGATTAAAATATCGAGTGACAGAAGAGTTCCTAAGATTGTTGAGATCGGGTTTATGTTTTAAAATGCCTTAAAACCGATATCGATAATGTCTCCCCGTCGCTGGACAGCCTGTATATAAATATACAGCTCTCTATTTACATAATTATAATTCTTAGGTAGGTTTAGATTTGCAGACATAAATCTTGTAATAAATATAACAGCTGCCTAATACATTGATTACATTTTCATTAGCCAATGTAAAAATGTCTTTTATTGTACCTAGGATTTGACTACACACTACACAAAACTAAAAATAAAATGCCACTTTCATCGTGTAATTAATGCCGCGTTTGAGAATCCACATCGGATGCATTTTTTACATCTCGAGCGTTTTTTATCCACATCGGACACATCTGTCCCATTACATTTACGTATACTGAATCACGTGATCAAAGATTTACTACTTACTACATCTCAGATGCATCCGATGTGGATTCTCAAACGCGGCATAAATAATAAACTACAAACGGTCCTGTAAGGGCAGCGTCATATAGCCTTAAAACACCGGATTTTAGTGCTATTGCCAGGTCAATATTGAATTTGTAGGTGAATCGCTTATTGAACATTAAAAATACGGTATTAATGACATTAATACGGTATTTGTATATATTTTTGGGAATGTAATTACACATAAATATTATTAGTTGATTATTTAAATGTGTATAAGTTATTTTGTGGCGATATTTCGTAGATATAAACTGTTTAAATCATATAATTTAAAAATTAATTAATTTAAAATTCTTTTCTGTTAGGTATGTTTAATATATTTGGCAACACTACAGGGACAAGTCATGCATATTGCGCAAGCTTCTAGACACACTATTTTGCGATGTCAGACGCAGAGACGCGTTTTTATGCACAGTAGGTTTCAATTTCTGCTTAAATGTTATGTTTATATTGGTCTTCTTTATTATTTCTATGTGATGTCCCGATAAATAAAAATAAATTTGAACAAATTTGAATAAATTCAAATAATTTTAAATAAATTTAACAATATTTAAATAATTCAAATAAATTATTTATTTCAGAGCGAATTCATCTAAGAAGTTTCACTTCTGTCATGCTTTAAAAAAAAAAACATACTCTTTTCTCGATATTATACGACTTGCAAACGAGATTAAAAAAGCAAAAATGTATACCCATGTTAAATTAAATGACAAATTGGCTTGTTTTGTTAAAAGTTAACTATAAGTAGAACACAAATTATGTAACAATAATATAGCGCATATACTAACAAACCATATGATTGTCGATGAAAACATGGAGTGAAATTTTATTTATTTTAATTTTAGGTATAAATTTGTATCATATAGATAGATATGCCAGTTTTTTTTTTGAAACCATACTGGTTTTTATATATAATATTTTTTTTTCAAAGTATTATTCAAGACGATTTTACAAAATAGATTCAAATATCTTTTCTAAATATGGGATAACAGATATTGGCCGAAAGTTATCTAAAACTTCATAATCCACCTTGTTTTGAATTGGGGCTACCCTGGTAAATTTAAGATGTTAGGGAATACGCCATTATGCATACAGATATTGAAAAGTTCACACTGCTAAACTGTCAGCAATTTTTTTTAATATACCGGGTGTTCAAATTAAAGTGTTTTTTTTATTAAAAAACGTTTCAGACGAAAGTTTTATATTTTTTTGGGGTTAACATTTTGGCTAACATTTTTTTTATAGCTAACCATAATATGACCAACTTTTGTTTGCGCAGCACAATTTTCAAGGTGTTATTTCAATTTCGGTTTTAATTTTGACCTGTAAACACGTATTTAGTGTCTCTCGATACAGTTCAATGAAATTGTGTATTATTGTTTGTGTTTTACAATTATTACCAAATTGAAAAAGTAAAATATTGTGAGTACAGATTAATTTAATACTATTTTATTGTTTATTAGTCAATGAAAAACAGATTAGATATTGTTGATTTGGAATACCGGCAAAAAAAAAACTGGTAAGATAATTAAATTTATACCCCAGTATATATACCAATCAGTATTGGCACTCT